TCACTGCTGTACTTGTAAATGATCTAGTCATCACTGCTTACTTGCAAATGATCTAGTCATCACTATTATACTTGTAAATGATGTAGTCATCACTGTTATACTTGTAAATGATGTAGTCATCACTGTTATACTTGTAAAAACCTTACTTACCAACGTGTAAGTTATGAGAATACCTAATTAGTGGTACGTGTAGATACTGCCCAGTGTTTTAGAAACATTGTTGTATCTGTATAGATACGTGTGTTTGCTAGTCATTGTGTGTCTGTCTGTCTCTATTTTCAGGAAGAAATCCCCCCCTCTTCAGATGGAGCGGTAGTGTAGACACGTTTTGCTCTGTTTATTTCTTACTAAATATTTTAAGATTCCCAGCATATTTCTAATCAAGAGAGAGAATGAAATAGAATGAAAAAAAACGTGCGTCTTTCATCGTACTAGTAAAGCTACTTAGACAGCTATGCGCATGCGCATGTTTTTACTACGCATGCTTTCTAGGTGAAAACTCGGTCCACTTATATTGTGTTTACAGTTGATATTTTGTAACACGTTACTTAACTATCATTACAAGAAGACAGTTTATTACAATCAGAACATTTTGTCAGCTATAAAAAAAAAAATCCAGTAAATCGGTTATCGTGCGTAAACCATACTATAAGCGTAAGTTTTCCACAATTTATCGATCGAAAAACAACAATATTGGTACATTTCAATTATAAAAGATTGTAGAACCTATGAAATGTTAAGACTTTCATTTAGAAACGTTTAATCAAAAAAGCTTAAAAGTTTCTAGATATAACTTATCTGAAGATGTCGGTCATTTATAAAAGTAGATCAATCTGTGTTCAAGTAAAATACGAATAAACGAAGAAAGGTTTATCCCCAGGAAATATGTGCTCTATATTAATATGTGCTCTATATGTGCTCTATATTAATATGTGCTCTATATTAATTATTAACATAAAGTCTATCCTTTAGGCCATTTTTATTATAGATGTTAAGAAACTCGATGTTTTTGGTTTCAGATGCTGAAGATTTTCAAACTCACTGGTAATCTGCTTATTTATTCTTTACTCACCATTAGATGAGATTTCGCAAAGTTGTAGATCCTTACAGGGAGATCCAAAAGTTAGGGATAATTTATGATTTGCAACAAATGTGAAAGAAAAAAAAAACGTTGGAGGTGTGTCATGATTACAGCTGACTTTTGGTCGAACCAATTCAATAATATACGATTGGTTTTTCTCAAAACTCCTAAAAAATATTAAATTACAATGCAAGACAGTTTCACAAATTTTTAAATTATGGTTCACTTACTTGTTATAAAGACATTCCTGTGGAACTGTTAAATTGGAAGAAAATTATTTAATACAAAATGCATCACATCTGTATACGATCTTTACCATACTAAGCTTGATAAAAGGATTTTATTAGCTTCGAAATAAGTCTTCGGATTTATAACGCTCAAATCTGGTGTTCGATTCATTTCTGTAGACATAGCAGATAGTTCGATGTGGCTTTGCTATTAATGCATAGAAACAAACAGTTACGTGACGTCAAAGTAGGCGCGTGCTTCTACCGAATATCCAGTTAGCGAATAAATATCTGTTTGGTGTCTTGACCTGTAATGTGGAAGAAACCGCACTGCATGGTGGGAATTTCCAAGTATGATCGCACTGCATGAGAGGACAGGTGTCTTAATTTGCATGGACACGTGCATATATTACTTCTTCTATGTAATAAGTTCTAAAAAACTTCATAAATCATTTTTCAATCCTTTAGTATAAGAGCTTTCCATATTAAAGAACAAAGATGGTGTAAGTTTTTTATATATTAATTATTATGCTCTTTGCATGTTACACCCTGTAATTGGAAACGTTCAATTATTACACTTAACTTACTTTTTTTTTCCAAACTTCACTAGATTTGGAAACCTTTATATCTTATTAGACACTATAATA